CTCTCTCTCTCTCTCTCTCTCTCTCTCTCTCTCTCTCTCTCTCTCTCTCTTTCTTTTATTTTTCTTTATTTTATTCCTCAACATATTTCGCGTGAAATACGAAAATCGCATGGAATTTTTAATCAACCGGTGCGGAACGAAGATCGAGTCCGGAGAGCCCGCTGGGAAAAAATTGAATTCGTCCACTGATTGCGAATCGACGTGCGCGCTAACGTACCGAGTACTTGCCGCGCGAATAAGCCCGCCGCTCGATTCGCGCGACGCTGTAAAGCCCATCTGAAATTGAAAGGATTTCCGCGCGACGAAGCCATGCTCCGTCGCATGCACGGAATTCGTAACACGCGGAAGAGCCCGTGTTTGTACACGATCTCGCGCTGGCGCCGAGGAAATTACGCGAATTCGGACATTACATTGTGCATCCCAAATTGCGGCGATATTCTCTGGAATGTAGATTTGATGCTATTTTAAGTAATCCGAGAAAATGGATTTAATGGGACAACGCTCCGCTTGTTTTCCCAAATTTTTGCGCGATTAGACGTGTGAAAGAAACTTATTAGCGTATTATTCTTCGTAGTAAATTTACAGAGTATGTTTTTCGGAGGGGAAGGGGAGATTTCGACTGTTTTTAGTTTGTAATGAATGCTCACCTGATGATGAGCTGGTGTACCCTGGACCATTGACCTCGCGACCTCAGAATCCTGAGCGTACCAATAAGCGACGGTTTGTGCGATGGAAAGATCTCCATTGCTTTGAAATAGTATCGGAGCGAAGGCAACCATTTGCCTGAAAGAGACAAAGCAAGTTTGCGCGAGGGTAAATTTAGGGTTGCGATCATGCAAACCGCTTCGTAACTCCGACGAGATTGTTCTACTTTCGCCAGGCAAGCAGTGCTTCTCCTACCGAGGATTTAAAGGTCTTCCACTTGCTATTCCGAGCTTATTTCATTTAACAACTTACCGTTCTTGTACAACCAGTAAGCATACTCAGCGAGCGCGTCCGGGTTTCGTGGTTGAAGGTGAATTACGTGCCTCAGGAGCTCGCCTGTTGCAGGACCGGTAGCGATTCTCGCCAGAACTCTAAATGCCGGCGCATATGCCGGATCTAGCAACACGCATTTTCTTAGCATCTCGATGCATTGTTCAGTTCGGTTTGTTCTTCTAAAAACAAAATTTTTACGAACGTGAGTGCAAGTTATCGTATAGGCTATATTCAAGGAGGTCGCTGTTGGTACGATTACATCATTCGATTTTTTGTCGTTTATTGAATGTAAATCAAGGATAGAAATCGACGCGATAGTGTTAATAGCACGCAGCCATGATGTTTAATATATACAATTTTTATATTTAACCAATATATATTTTTTTAATAATTTTTTTAATAAATTTTTTAAATTTTACAAGAGTTTTTTTATCAAACTAAATATATGCTATTTGAGTACACATAAATACGTGCGTTTCACAATTTCCATATTATATAGATATATAAATAAAAGCTACACCAGAAGATTCCAATAGGATATAATAAACGAATAAAGTAATGTAATATAATTGGAAGATTGTCATTTATTATTCTTAATTAGTAATAAGCAATTCGATTCTAATTAGTGTCAATTATAAATTCCATGCATACCGTTCAAGCAATATTATTTAATTACTCGATATCGATTGTCCGCTGGTATGTCTCACTAATATCGTGGATATTTATTTCTTGCTTGAGGCGCTTTATGATAGAAATGCTACATATTTCAAAGTAAGTTGATAGACTGATAAAGGGCCAACGGAAAGCCAACGTTAAAAAGAGCAACGGAAAGGTACCACCGGTAAATTCGGCGTTCCCGTACAAATTGAACGGCAATTTCGCGAACGCGTCCGGTTGAATTATAGTCGTGCGCTTTCATGTAATCGACTTTGCGCCCGACAAAAGACTCGGTAATTGTCAGAGAATGGCGACGCCAATAATGCCGATCGACAATGCCGTTTTTACTGTTTACGCCCATAGCTCGAGCGATGCTTTTTACCAATATCGCTCTATCGACGTTTTCATCTGACGGAAAGAGGAAATACTAACCGATGAAAGAGCATTTATACAGATGCACACCCATCGGTATAAAAAATATACCTTCGATTAATTCAAAATATTTCAGAAATGGGTTCTGTTATGAATTATTTTTGTATGTTGTATCTTATGCTGTTGTTTACTAAAATTTCCGATGAGACGATCTAATTTTGAATCGCGAGAGATGTTTTATATACTAACGTGATATATAAATATTCGGAAATCGAAATTGAAATCTTTCAAGAAAATAGATGTGCAATAAACATATTTTTAATATGTAATATATACTTATATCACATTATATTAGAGCCTTTTTATTTGTTATTCTTTCTAATATTTTTCTCCTAATTGACGCGTATTGAATTGTTATCGGAAATAAAATTTTGTATGATATCACTTTAATAATATATTTGAGAAATAAACAAATTAAGGGAAACTTCGCATATTTTTAAGAACAATAGTAGTTTTGTATATTTTTCTGCATTTTCTTATAACAATAACATGAATAATGCATTCGCAACGATAACGCGCATCTCTGTAATCAAAACGGAAACGGAAACAAAGGCATGTGCCTCACGGTCTACGCGCGCATACATAGTTACTATTTCAAAGAGAGTCACCTTATTATTATAACGCACATCGTATATACACCAATTTCTCATGCGTAAAATGTGTACATGCACAGCATCAGATTCCATGTATTTGAGCTATTGTATAATTTATTCAATATGCAAACGTTAATATATACATTATAAAATCAATTATATAATATAAATGGCACGCGTTATATTATATCGAAATTACAATAAAAACAGATTGAGTTAAAACGTATTATTTCTGATACAAAACGATGTTATTATATTATAGAAATATAATTTCGTTATGTTATGTCATTATATAAGATTGGCATGGAAAATCGTTGTATTAGATAATAATAGTTATGATTAATCGCTGAATTATAGATTAAATATTTAAATAAGTATATAAAAAGTTATAAGTTATATAAAGAATAAGTTAAAAATCTCTTTATATCAAATGTCTTTTCTTGACTTCTATGTATGACATTATTAATAAAAAGAGCTGAAAATAATTTTATTTTTACAATTTCCATTTTT